GATCTTGCAGGGTCACAAAACAATCCAAGATCAAGAATTCACCCAAAGTTGCAAAATTTCTTCAAAAGGAACCAGAAATGACCCAAATACTCCATAACTACATTTCCCCAGAGAATCTTGCAAGAATTACTGGGGAACAGACTGCAAGAGGGTCAGCAGAAAAACTGCACAGGGTCAATATTGCAAAAATTGTGAAGTGGAAATTATGGTTGCAGACCAATGTAGTAGCATAGACTTCTATTGGTTGAGCCACATCTTTTGGCTTCTCTCTCTCTTAGTTACTTTCTCCCAGCTTGGGTTTTGAGATTTAGGAAGAAGTCATATTTGCATAGTGCCCAAAGGCTATCAATCAAAATTCTCCAAATGGCCCCAAATGGATTTGAAAAATAATGTTTTGTGGTCTTTCTTTAAGGAGATTAATTATGGTAATGGAGGTGGTCTGTCTCCCACTCTTCTCTCCCCCTTAAAATTTTCTGGAAGAAAATGAGGAAAACTTTGGTCCCATTTCTACTGGTTATGTCACCTCATCATTGGATGGCATACTGAAGCCTTTTAAAGACTTCAGGGGTTGAATCATTCAAACATTGCCTACAGCGTGGTCAAAGATGAGCAGATAGATCATCATGACTGGGCACTCCATGATGATACTTCTACTGGTAGCAGAGCAAACCAACAGTAGGCCAGTGGCTTTTGAAAGCCACCCTGGACTCAACTTCTGGCCCTCAATATCCAGTTTGAGAGGGGTAGACTGGATCATCACCTTGAGCCTACCATTTCTGAAGGACTATGAAGAAGGTATGTATCAAATATGGTTCTCAATGTATTTGCTTATTTGTTCGTTTCCTTGCTTTTGTGCAATCCAAGTTCTTCACAAGACTCTGCAGATTTAACAAATTGTGTCCTTATATTCCTCCCTCCGCCTCGGGATCTCAACCACCAATTTCTGTAAAGATACATTCTTTGGTGATTATTACAGCAACACAAGTGAACAAAACATAACGAAGAATCAAGATTTTTCCAGAAAAACGGCAGTGGAAGGATACACATAGATCAAGATGTAGAGCCCAAAGAAACACAGCAAGACACCCCCAACTTATGCCCCCAAAGCAGCCAGAGACAAAGAGACCTAGACATGATAACTAAGATATAGATTCGCCAACAGCCATGTCACGGTTGACTGTCATGGCAGCCAGAAGAAGCCTTCAACATCTGTAAAAGTGCAAGAAAAAGGAAACCAGAACAATGCAGCCACTGTAAGTGAATACTAGAATCTGGATCGGCAAGACCAGGTTTCGCCTCCCCTCTAATGCTTGGGCATAGCAACTGATTTTCCAACTAGCTTTTTATTCTGATCCAAGAAAGAGATATCCAG